GGGGCGCGGTGGGGCGGCCATACAGATACTCGAGGAACCAAATGGCGAGTCCAAGGGCCAAGGTACCGCGCAAAGGGAAACAGAAAAGACCTGGTAGAAAAACCGAAAACGGGCGCACGCAAGCACCAACCTTGAGCCTGAATAATCCGAACCAAAGAGGCACAGACAGACAAACCCACGGACCCGGAGGAAGGCACCGCACATACCGAGTACCAAATTAAAGGATCGTCCTGAAAGTAGGCGCATTTTTCACAAATATATCCGGCAAACTTCGGGAGCTAAGCGCCTGCGAGAGTCAGGATAGGCCACCCCGCAGAACACGCGTGCACTGCAGTCAAGATGTTGCCTACCTACCAGGCGCTATGAGAGCTTCCATGGCCCAACTTAGCATGTTCGTAACAGCTAGGGTGTCGTTAACGCGTAAAAAACTGCAAAAATCGGAAGTTGCAATTGGACAACGTATTTTAGCGTTGTCAGCTTTGATGCTAGCAAATAGAGGACAATAACACACTAAATAATTCCCTAATTGCACAGTACCTCGTAACATTAGCTTTCGCTGTATGACAAACTACCTGAAATAATAATAAAGCAAAGAATTTGCTACCGACGCCGATTCACTAGTTTTCTTGGTCTTCGCTGTTCCGAGCGCGAATTCTTCGCCTTGACAGCTTATTGATGGCTCTCGGCACTGACAGCGATTTTCTCACATACCGGACGCTTAATGCGATGAGCCATCACAAATGTAGCTAATCTACAAGCACTGAGAGGGCTAATCATTTATTTGAGTGCAAGCCAATAAGTTTGGCCCGAGCAAGGTGGCCCAACAACAGCATGGAGCAGGCCCCTCTCAGGCGGTGCGCTGCGCGGCCTTCAGAACCTCTTCCACATCCCCACACCGCATTCCTCACGCAAATCGTTCAACTGTCTCGCCCGCCCGGCCGGCGGGGCCCCCGGCAGGCAGCCGGACGGATCGCCTCGGCCGACAGTTTCATTTCCGGCCGGAGCGGACCGCGGCGGCGCTGCTGGACCAGACCGGAAGCTGCGCGACCGACACGGATCGACACAAGGGACCGCGCGAGTCCGAAGAGAAAGAAAGCCAAAGTCTTTCCATTTCTTTTCAGCCAGCAGAAGGGCGCCGCGCGTTTTAATAATTCACAGGTCATTTTGTGGGGCGCTCCCGGAGCGAAAGACTGGAAGAAGAAGTGCAAGACGGAAGGTGTGCGGAAGTCATTCACGGGGCAGGTCAACAAGCAAAAGGCGCATCAAACTTGCATTCCGCAATTTGTGCAACCCGGTAAGCTGGTACTTCTTTTTATTTTTGGAAGCTTGTGAACAATTTAGAACAAATCACGTGCTCTTTGTCGGGCCGCCGCCGCGGCGGCATAGAACGAACAACAAATCACGCTCATGCTCTTCGTCAAGCAAGAATGCATTCCGGCGCACGCCTGGGCGGGCCCCGGCCGCGGCGGCGCATTTGCAAGTCAGGCACGGCCGATGATAAATGGGCCTAGTTTCGCAATTATTAGCGCGCGCACGTCATCCTCAACGACGGAAACGTTCAAAACGGCGGCGAATATTGCGATTATTATTATTACTATTTACTAACTGTCGGCGGTGCATGGGCGTCCAGTCGGAGGGGCGCGACCAAAAGCCTGATAAACAGCGCATCGCAGATTCAATTTTGCTCATGTGGCGCAGCGAAATGGCAGCGCGAGCGTGAGCTAACGGGCGACTGAGAGCGGCAATGAAACAAGTCGCGCGTAAAGAACAGGGTTCCGCGTCCGGAGCGATCAAAAAAGAATTTGCGCATGCATTACCAATGATACGTGCCCCCCCTACAATTATTTGCAAACCAGTAAATCAATACAGATTAGGACTTTGCGAATAATGCGTTACATCGGAAAAAGCTAAAGCTGCAAACAATTAGCACTTTGTGAGTTTCGATGTCAAACAGCAAAGTGCCGTGCTATTCCGGAACGCGACGAAATCTGGATTTTTGCTGGAAACTTCTTACACTCAATTTGAAACCCATGGAAATAGTTACCATTATATAAATAACTTAAGTCCACAGACGCAAGGAGGAAAGTGCTATAAAGGGTCACCCAGCTGATCACCTTTCATGCCCGAGGAAGGACGTCCGAAAGGCTGCAGCCGCGGTGGTAGCTGTTTCTGGGAGCCGTTTCCCACGAAACGAACATAAGCAGACTGTCGAAGGAAGACACAAACCGCACAAGAAGCACCACACTCACACAACCGCAGAGAAGACACAACCCAAACGGCAACAGGTTAATAAAAGCAACGCAACAGTCGGTTAGTAAAAGCAATCCGGCTGCGCTGGGTCGGGCAGCAGCAGGCGCAGGCGGCGCGGGCGTGTGGGCGCCGGCCGACTCACCGAGTCTTGTCGGACGCGAAGATGTTCCACCAGGAGGGCCTCTTCTCGCGCGGCTTGGGCGCCTCGCTGTCGGAGAGCGCCGTGGGGCTGATGACGCCCTTGCGGCGCTTGCGCTCGAGCTTGGCGACGTGCCACGAGCGCCGGCGGCCCTTGGCGCCCTTGTCGTCCAGCCCCTGGGGCAGGGCGTCGAGCCCGGGCAGCACGCCGCCGGGGCCGGGCGTCGAGTCGCGCCTCCCGGACGACGACACGGACGCGATCGAGGCGGCCGACTCGGAGCCGCGGCGCGAGGACGAGTCCCGCGACGGCCGCCGCGAGGCGAACAAGAGCCCCATGCCGATGCCCAGGCCGCTGGCCGTGGAGCCGCGCCGGCTGCCGCCGCTGCGAGAGTCGGACGACTCGCGCCGGTCGTAGTTGACCTCGGTGCTGTACTCGTCCACGGAGCCCAGGGCGGCGCCGGGGCTGGCCAGCGTGATGGTGGGCGCGCTCCACTTCTTCTTGTGCGCCGGGCCGGCGGGCGGCAGCGCGGGGTTGTTGTTGGTGCCCATCTCCTGGCGGAGGAACAGCTCCGTGCCCGAGTCCATCCTGTCTCCTGGGGCCTGGGCTGGTGCCGGGTGCCGCTGCTGGCACTGGTGCTGCTGCTGCTGCTGCTGCTGGTGTGCTGCTCGTGTCTACTTCTATCTGGCGGTCATCGCCGCTCTAGGGCCGCGCGGACGGCGCGCGCATCCCGGGGACAGCCAGCAACAGGGACATCCTTTGGAGGATAAACAGAACATTACTCTCATGAACGGCGCCATAGGCCCGAGGGGAGGGGAGGGG